GTCCTCGATTTTGCCGTGAAATCGCTCGCATCTGAGACAGTCTGTGGTGCAAAAGGCCGCCGCCAGACAGCTTATAGCAGCGCGGTCACGTCGCATCAGGGGACGAATCTTGCAAACAAAGATATGAGTGTATTTTGCGAGCAACGTGGCGTCTGCTTACTCCCCATAGCCGTGGGGTCCTTCGGCGTTTTTTACATATTCCGTTCATTTCTCGCCGATTTTTGTATTTTATTTCTTCCCTTTTCTTTTTCCGCTTATCCTCCCCCACGTTTTTTTTTTGTTTTTCTGTACGCTCTGGATCTTTGATCTTAGACAATATGTTGAATTCGCTTCCAATTTATGTTAGTGTTTTTTTTCGTTGTTCTCTTTTGTCTTCGATTAGTTTTTCTATTTCTTCTTTATCGATGTTATATATATGTATATATATACATATATATATATATATATATATCATAAAAATGTCTAACCGCGTGTCGCCCAAAAAGTCGCGAGAACGCACGCAAACGCGAATTTTCTCACAATGTGTCGTTGGTATCAGTATTTTTTTCGCCATCATTCTCGTTGTCGCCACGTTTTTTGTCTGTCGCAAGAGATGCAATAACAATGACGCAAAAACGCCAGGGAAACAACTAAATCGATAACGAGGAGATACACAAACACGCGTATCCTCGGCAATTGCATTTTTTTTAATTCTGCAGAAATGCATCGCTTCTAGCACGCAAACTGCAAGAATAAACAACGGAATATTCATACACATCCCGCTGTCATTACAGAAGATAATAACGGATTTGTAAAAAAATTGTTACGTTTTATTTCCAATTGATTTCGGACGAACTATGTTTTTCTTCATTTTCTGGCATCCGAAAATTTAATCTGACGTTTTACCGCGTTTCGAACCATGCAAATTACGATAAAGCCGGGCGAACCGGGAATCCAATGGCAAGTAACGTTGTTTTTTACGGAACGCCATTCTGAGAAATATGCTGCGCCATGGAAATTGATCAAAAAATGATATAGGAACGACAAAATATTAATCATTACGAATTACGATAATACTGCGGAAAAAGGCCGAAACCACGACGAAAAAAAATGGAATTGCAAAAACAACAGCACGGCAAAATGGAAAACATGACGAAACGAGTATTAAAGACGGATGGCCAATTGTTGAACTACCGTTAAGCCGATTTTTCGAAATAGCAACGCCAATTTTGAGGGCTGCCAGAACTAATGTTGAGCTTAGCGTTTTATGGAATTACCAAAATTGTGGTTCTTTTGCTGCCGCAAATGCAGCGAGTGGGGCTTGACATTTCGCGTGGCCGCCTTGGCGCTTTTTGGATGTGTGTCGGCGGCTATCTTAAGTCATGTACCGCTATTATCTTTGATAATTTTGGAGGCACGTCTTTTGATAATAATACTACAGCTTCGGACGTGAAAATTTGACAAACAGGCGCGAAATAGCGCACTACACATGAGAAGGATGAACTTTCAATTTTCTCATAATCTTCCTGACCCCAAGTTGTCCCATTGATCGTCTTGAAATCTTGAAGTCTCTGGGGTCCTCTTGGAAATATCTTGGGCCATTCTGGGCGCTGCTGCGGGTCGGGCCCACCCCGTCCAAACCCAAAGGGAGGGACGTAAACTTCCCGAGCGCAGGACATTGGAACAAAAAACGATCTAGGGCTGGTTGCCACGAAACACGTGAAACATGTGCCGAAATAAGTGCGGTGGGTGCGCGCGAAAACAGCCATTGGGACCGTCGGTGGAGCTATTGTGCCGCGAAGCGTGTGATAGGTGTGCTGAAATGGGTACAATGGGCGCATGCGAATATAACCGCTAGCGCCTTCGGTGGGACTTCCTGTGGGGCCACAGAACGTGTGAAGCTTAGGCTTGAACGGGCATGCGTCACTCATGAGGGCGGCAGCACTGGGGACTTCGGTAGAGCTTCTTATGAAACCACGAAACACGTGAAGGGTGTGCCGAATGCTGGCGTGCGCGACGCATGCGTGCAGTGGCATTAGGGCCTTCGGTGGGGCTCTTTGTGGAGCCACGAAACGTGTGAGGGGTGTGCCGACATGAGTGTGCGTGACGCATGCGGGTGGTGGCACAGGGGCCTTCGGTTGAGTTCCCTGTGGGGCCATGAGAGCGTTGCTGCCAAACGGCCCCCGCTGGCGGGTAGACGATATCCATATCCCGACTTGGCCATTCGGGTCCCCCCTGGCCCTCGACTTTGCCGTGACGTCGCCTCTCAGACAATCTGCGGTGCAAAAGGCCGCCGCCAGACAGCTTATAGCAGCGCGGCCACGTCGTATGACGGGGCGAATCTTGCAGACAAAAATACACTTTCCAAGCAACTTGGCGTCCGCCTAGTCCCCATGGTCGTGGGATCCTTCGGCGGACAAGGGGAGGTGGCGCATGCCGTGTGCCGGACCTTGAGTCATACCCGTGCAGCGCACAGTGGCGAAACGATGACCAATGTCCCCACTTGCTTGTATTTTGTAGCATCATTTTAATGCGTGCAAACGCACGCGCTGTGTTGGCCAAGATCCATCAGGAAGCCGGGGTCGTCCATGCTGACCGTGTCAGCCGCGCGACCTTGCTGCAGGAGGGACGTCAAGATGAGGCCGGCGCCCAAATATATATATATATATATATATATACAAGTGGCACGTGTGTGCCCAGGCTCATACAACAAGCTGAAGGGGCGTTTGAAGCAGGAGTGACATGCAACAGCGAAGTCGCACTCGAGCGCAAGTGGGGTTGCCACACCTTGCGATGTGTGTACCAGGGCCCCCCAGGAAGCCTCAGGAGGCCCGACTTGGATACCAGAAGAGGCTCCAGGAGGCCCCAGGATTGTGAGTGTTGTGTGTGTGTGTGTGATGTGTGCTTTGTGTGGTGCGTGCTTTTTGCGTGTTGTCGGTGTTGTGTGTGTGTATGTTATGTTTGTCTAGCGTGTGATGTGTTGGGCGTGATTTGTGTCTCTGTGTGTGCATGTAGTTCTGAAGCCCCAGGAGGCCCCAGGAGGCCCCAGGCGGCCTCAGCAGGCCCAGGAGAACTCCAGGAGGCTCCGAGGCGGGGTCTGGGGTACCAGAAGGTCCAGAAAGCCCCAGGAGGCCCCAGGAGGTTCCAGGAGGCCCCCAGGAGGCTCCGAGGAGGGGTCTGGGGCTCGATTTTGGGAGGATGTCTCAGGCGAAACCGCCATTCTCTGAGAATCGGAGTCAAAATCATTGAAATTACCATGTGTTTTTGAAGGTTTTATGATAAAATGTTGGAAATCCTATGTGTTTTTGGACCCTGACGTCACGATCTGCGTGAGGGGTGCCACCGATTTTCAGAATTTCGAGGATGTCCCGAGCGAAACGGCCAGAAAAATCGCGAACGACGGACGCATTAATCGCCTCTGAGCTCTACTCCCTCGGAGAGGTGCGTATGAGAATATATATATATATATATATGTGTGTGTGTATGTGTATGTGTGTATATATACATATATATATGTATATATATATATATATATTGAACGATCTTTGGTCTCTGCTCCTCCCTCCCGTGTTTTTCCTCCCGCTGATGGGGACGCCAGCATTTTTTCTTTTGCGCTGGCGCCCGGAGGCGCCTCTCGGCCCGCCTCCTTTCTTGCCTTCGACCAGGCACTCGGTTGGCTCCCCTCCCCCCCCTATCCTCCCCCCTCCTTTGTCTTCCGTCGCCATTTTTTGGTTTGTTTTGTTTTTTTCTCTCTCTCTCTCTCTCTCCCCTCTCCCCCTTGGCTCCCCCCTGTCCCCCGTCCCTCCATCTGTCGGCCCGGTCTGTCCTTTCCTGTCGTCTTCGTTCACTCTCCCCCACAGTCTCTCGCTCCTCGCCCCCTCGCCCTCCTGCCCCTCTGCGCCGGCCCGCCCCGCGGTCCGACCAGGACCTGCGGTGGCTTTTGGCATCTGCCGCGATGCGAAGCGCACCCCTCGCAGCGGAGCGCACGCTAACTTTCAGACTGGGCGACTGGGCCGTGGTCATTTTCTTCACGGCCGAAGAGGGCGTGTGTGGCGCATGTGGGCGACGGCATTGGGGCTTCCGGTGAAGCCCCCTATGGGACCGCGAAACGTGAGAAGGGTGTGCCGAAATTTGCGTGCGTGACGCATGCGGGCGGTGGCGGTGGGGCCTTTGGTGGGGTCCCCTGATGGTGTCACGCATGCGGGTGGTGGCGCTGGGGCCTTCGGTGGAGCTCCCTGTGGGACCACGACGCGTGTGAAGGGTGAAGGGTGTGCCCTCCTCCTCCTCCTCCTCCTCCTCCTCCTCCTCCTCCTCCTCGATGTAAAAGAGCGTGACGCACGCGGGCGGTGGCACTGGGCCCTTGCGGGGCGACGAAACGTGTGAGAAATAAACTGACTTGGGTATGCGTGACCCATGCGGGCGTTGGCACTGGGGCCTGCGGTGGGGCTCCTTTTGGGGCCACGGCACGTGTAAAAGGTGTGCCGACTTGGGTATGCGTGACACGTACGGGTGGTGGTAGCCACCACCCGTGACGCGTACCTGGTGGTAGTTCCACCGGAAGCCCCAGTAACTGGGGCTTCCGGTGGAGGTCCGTATGAGGCCACGAAGCGCAGTGGGTGGGTGAAACGCACGGAGGACAGGGAGGAAGAAGGGGGCGGGAGGAGATCGTGGAGCGCCCTTTCTCCAAAACGAGAACCCAATACCACCGGATGGTCGGGAAAAACACAACAACGAACATTTGTAGCCAAAAGCAACAACACCAAACACTTTGAAATATACCGAATCCAAAATTTACTCTCGATTCCAACCGAAGACACTGCATTACAATATCGGTACCATGCGCATTCCATAAACCACAATGGCCAACACGAATCCCGCAAGACTGTGCGAAATTAGCGTGCGAATGTCTGCCACAACGAATTGGCCAACAACGGCACGCAACACGTGGGACGTGAACTTGTATAGAACAACCTATGAGTTTTTTTTTTTTTTTTTTTTTTTTTTTTTTTTTTTTTTTTTTCTCCCGCGGCAGCAGTAACCCACTAAGGATTTCCACGCAAAGACCCACTTGTAAATCAGGGCGCGGTGAAACGAACGTGAATGACCGGACGCACTAAGCAGCGTCGACGGAGGAGGAGGAGGAGGCGCGTCGGATCAGAAAACCTCCAGGTCGGCGAGGCCTGGCGCCGTCTCCAGGGCTGTAGTAGGTAGGCGGGTGTAATCACTCCTGGACTACGAGATTTGCCACGCTCCGTTGCAGCGCAACCCCCAACACTCCAAACCATTCATGTTGTAGTCCTAGCGCAGTGCCCCGTCGTATAGCCTGGCCGCGACAGCGTTCCCTGGCAAGGGCAAGCGCTAGAAGAACGCTTTATCGTCCATCTTCCAAACACCTCAACCCCGAGGCATTGCAGAAAACCCCAGCCCGTGGACACAACGTCATGGTAGGTCGCGTCGTTGTCATGTTCCGTACGTTGTAAAACATTTCCGCCATAATTGCTCGTCCCCAATCAGTCGTGGTCTCCCATTACCGCTGAAAAGGGCTCACCGGCGTGATGTCGCAAAATAATGGGAGACCATTGGCTACGCTGAGGCTTGGTAGAGGTATGTGCGTGTATCGTAATAGCCGTTCCGCATTTCTGTCTGGGATGATGCCTCCTGCTTCTGTCAGAAGTTGCCGCCACGCCACTTTCATACTTGTGCGTCTCGTTTCGAGTCTGCCTTGGTGGTTGATAATCAGGAAAGGCCCAGCGGCGCCGTATAGCACAAACTATTTGTGGGCATATTGTAAGCCACGCTGCTGCGAAAGGTCCCGTTCAGGAGTGTAACCTTCACTTTCCCATTGTTGCAGCATTAGTCCAAGCTCCGGGGCCCCTTCCGAGTCGTTGACGCAGTTGTTGGAATGTTGATTTTTCCAAGTGTTCGGATGCATAATCGTGAGAAGCGTCTGGAGGCTTCGTTCTCTCCATCAGCCAATGCGTCCCAAATTGGGAGGTCCCTCCACCCGCTAGCATCGCACATCTGTCAGGCCCAATCCGCCGCAACCATGTAATCTGGACGTCAGCCATGTCCAGGTGCATTGAAATAATAATGTACAATATCGCGCCCAATCGTCGGAAATTCTGGGGCGAGACCTGGCAACGAGTCCGCCCAGCTCGCCCAAAGTGCTGCTGGAGGGAGTCGTCCAGAATCTCGGTCTCCGGGCCCCCCAAGGCTGAAGGGGAGTTTGGCTTGGGCAGCCCACGTTTGGTACGATGCTCCATGGACCTTGGTGTCCCAGTTTTCTGGTCCAGCGATGCCAAACATTCTCCAGAAGGTGTCGAAAACGCTCTTGTCGTGTGCTCGAGCGGCTGCCTGGGCAAGGTTTGGTGGGGTGGTGCGAAGTAGGTAATCGAGTCGTGGGACGGCACAAAAGTACAGCATCAACCAAGCAGTTTGTAGGGAAGGGAGCTGAGGTAGAAGGTTGAGCCGATTCGCCTTACCTTCTACTTGTGTGGTACCGAATGCTGTAACATGCTCGTACGTCCCAAACTGCGTCCCCAAGATGAGGAAGTCCAGCTGTTCCACTGGTTTGTCGTGAACCCACGCGTTAGGGACAATAGCAATGTGGCCTAGTGGTGCGGCGTTGCGGTGTTTGCTGCACGCAATGAGTTCACCCGTGTCCACAAGGATCTGGCACATATTCAGTAGCGTTGTTCTGACTGTGACGTAGATCTGAGCGGTGTCGGCGGGGTGGGAGACGACATAGATGTCGTCGAGGTATGTTATGAGCTCCGCTCCTGGTGGGAACGTTGTTCTGACGGGCGCCCCTCCTCCTCCTCCTCCTCCTCCTCCTCCTTGGCGCCAGACCTGATTTGAGTGCCAAGCACAAGAGTGCTGGCATCAAAGCGTCGCCTTCTTCCCCGCCAACCCCTGGCTGGACTGTGCGGTGTTCTCTTTTTTGTCCTTCCACAAGAATTGTGATTGCACCGTGTACCATAGCGACACAAATGGTACAAAAGTACAAGACCGTGCACCGCCACATTCTGTAGTTCTTCGAGCATGCGGGCACGGCCTCACGTAGTCAAAAGCCCCCACCCTGTCAATACTAAGAACAACTTTGTCAAGATCAAAATCCGTGAAATATCGTACCATGTGTATGGCTGCATCTGTGCCGCACCGGTTTTGGATACCGAACTTGTTAGACCACACAACGTTACGTAATGGTTCTTGGTATTGTCCCCGCTGGAAATGCCTCTCACCCATGAGTTCGGCTCGAGCGCGGCCGTAAGAGACGATACCAAGAGAGCATCTTGAACACATTCCGGAATCTTAGCTGCAGCGAGATGTTGTGCCGCATCGAAAAGGGCACCAGCAGAACGTCGTCTTCCAAATATGCCTTGCAATCTTCGTACCGACATCCCGTCGCGATTGCCGCAATACCGTCGCAAATATGTTCCTGTCCAACTCCACTGGTTACTGTTGCGGCGTAAGTAAGGAGGGGTCGTAGTTCTGGGTGGGCCAATTCGTTGCACCTGGCGTCCGTACCTGGCGCAATCCCTCGTGAGGTGAAGCGTCTGGAAGTATGACTAAATTCTCCTTGTTTGATCAGGGCCTTGGTTTGATCTATGTTTTTCTTCGTGTCTTCTTCGCCAGTGGTGGTGTGGTGTTTCTCCTTGGACCAGGAAGGAGGAAGAGGAGGAGGAGGAGGAAGAGGAGGAGGATGAGGAGGATGAGGAGGAAGATGAGGAGGAGGATGAGGAGGAGGATGAGGAGGATGAGGAGGAGGAGGATGAGGAGGAGGATGAGGAGGAGGAGAATGAGGATGAGGATGAGGATGAGGATGAGGATGAGGAGAAGGAGGAGGAGGAGAAGGAGGAGGAGGTATTCACAATTGCGGTACTCACGACTGCACATGGCTGGGCGCTTCGCCCGGATGCTCCCTTCTTTGGTCAGTGCCGCGGCGCCGGCAACTCGGGTCCCGAGAACGGCGGGCGCGCGACGGGCAGGGACGGTGGGCCGGCGTGCTGTGACGCCAGCTGGGGGAGCCCGAAAGACAGCAGGAGCGAAGAGGAGGGATCGCGGGGCGTGTTTTGAGTTGGACATTGGCTTGTTTTGTTGTGTGGTTGTGGTTGGACCCTGTCGTGTCGCTGCGCGCGTGATCGCGACGCCAGAATGTTTGCGTGTGTGTGTGTGTGTGTGTGTGTGTGTGTGTCCGTGTGTCCTCCCCAATTAGTGCTTTGCGCGGCCCACCTAGCTCTTAACCGGAAGAGGCTCGCTCTCGACCCGCAGACCAAAAAAGTGTGTCCGTCTGTCCGTACCCCCCTGGCTCAAGCCTTGGCTCAAGGCCGCTTTGGCTCGAGGGGGCCTCAGCGGCCGCTGCCGCGGGGCTGGCAGGCGCGCCCGCGCCGCTGGCGCAGGCGGTGCCGCGGGCGCAGCTGGCGCCGCGGTGGCCGCCGGCCCCGCCGGCAATGCGGGGGCTCCTGGCGCCGTCGGCGCCGACCGCGTAGTGGGCGCCGCCGGCGCTGCCGACCCCGCGGCCGCAACCGCCAGCGCCGCCGCCGCGGCCTCCACCGCGTGCGCCGCCGCCGCGGCCGCTGGCGCGCGCGCCGCCGCCGCGGCCCCCGCCGCGGCCGCCGCCGCGGCCGTGGCCGTGGCGGCCTCTGATGCCGCCAGGGCCGCTGGCGCCGCCTGCGCTGTGGGGGCTACGAGCCCCGCCGGTGCCGCGCCGCGGCCGCCGCCGCGCGCGCCGCCGCCGCGGCCCCCCCTGCGGGCGCCGCCGGCGTGGCCACTGGCGCACGTGCCGCCTCCGCGGCCGCCGTCGCCGCGGCCGCGGCCGCGGCTGCCCCCGCTGGCGCCAAGGCCGCTGGCGCCGCCCGCGCCGGCGAGGTGCCGATTGTCAGCGACGCCGGGGAGAAGCAAAAGAAGTTGGCAGACGATGTCTCCCTGAGGCTGTTCCTCTACGGGGTGGGGAGAGAATCGCGATTTATGATTACAAGGTTCGACTTCGACCGCTTCTACACCGTGTACAGTGGAGTGCCATAATTGCGACCAAACACAACCAATTTGGTCCCCAAGCGCGGGATTCTTGCATGGGGGCATCGGAGTTTCGCATGGTGGCCGATGCCCTGAACATTTTGTTCATTCATTACCATGTGGTGGAGGTCGTGGCTTTTCAGAGCGGGTGCCACTCTTTGAGTGGGGGCCGACGTGTCATGACGTGTGCTTCGTGCGATGCGGTGGATTGTGTACTCCGACGTGCAGATGGTCACGACTTTCCATTCTTGCCTATCCTTGGGGTGGTCTGGGCAGTACGCGGGCTTCCTGAGCATGCGCTGTGTTGCCGACATCGTGCCACCTCTTGGCCTCAGCTGGACTCGCTGCTTTCGGCGTGTTGCTGGACTCCCTATGGTGCTCTTGGCTCTCCTCCTCTCCTTCGTGCAGGGCGAGCTGGCTATCACGTGGTGGATTGTGCAGGCTGGCTCCTGGTTGCCTGCTGTTGTTCGCTGGCGTACAAAACCGACGGCGTAGTCGAGATGACCCACCGCTTTACCCTCGGCTTGCTGTGTGCTCATTTCTGCGGTTGGTTCTTCCCGCTGAGCGTGATAACCCAGGGGGGACGTATTCCCACCTATGACTGGGTAAGCTGGTCTGGTCTGGGGGCTTACTTGTATGCTGGTATCCAGGAGTACTCGGTGCACTGTGGCCAGGCTGCGGGGCGCGCTGTCTTGCTCATTTCGCAGTTGTTTTTTTTCTCTCCTTGCTCTCCTTCTAATTACTTCCTGTTGTTCCTTGTGTTCTGCATGGGTACGCTTTCTCTCCCACGTCTGACTACCTACCAGACCACCCCAACCCAACCCGAAGGCCCGACTTCGACCCGAATTTCGGGTTGGGGGGGGTACGGATCCCATGTGTTTTTTCGATGTTCCCCGACCCCCCCCACTGGAAATCGAGGATAAATTTGGGCCTTCGGGTTGGGTTGGGGTGGTTTGGTGGGTGGTGAACGTCGGCTCGGCTCTGCCCCATCGGGCATCGCGGCCTGGGGGCACACGTCGGGGGCGTGGGGGCGGAACCCGTGGGCCGCCTTCGGGCGCCCTCGGGGCTCGTCCGAGGTGGGCCGAGCCGCCCAGAGGGCACCCGCGGCCCCCCGCCCGCCCTCCTCTGCTGAGGCACTTCTCCAGGTG